ATGTAAAATATGATAGAATGGACCTAAAATGATCCTAATATGATCCTATTGATGCTAAAGTTCAAACTCAACCTAGGTAAAAAGATCCTAAATAATAACTTTTTTGGAGAGTTATCAGTAGCCAAATTTGTATCGATGCTTATGGGAGTATCGATACCAAGGGTATAGTACCAATACTCCACAATAAGGGTATCAATACTTAGATCATTTTCAAAAAATAAAAGCCAAATTTGGTATCAATACTCAGGAAATTATCAATACCCCAAACCAAAAGTATCGATACTCTAACTAGAGTATCGATACTAGCCCTGTGTTATCAACCTTCAATAAGTCAATAGTTTTGATACCCAGAGGTTAGTATTGATACCCAGAGGCTAGTATCGATACTAAGGAGCTTAATATCGATACCCACGAACAGTTTTGGGTGAGAACCCAAGGGTTTAAGGGTTAGAATTAAGGGACCTAATAACTCCAGGATAAATTCAGGACACTCGAGTTACTTTAGCATATACAATCGTACAATTGAATATCACAGTCAGTACCAAGGCACTTAGCCGCCAGTTGGGCACAGATGCCCTAAGACTCGACGGAGTAAGTTGACTAGGTCTACGTTTTGATGCAGCTCTGGATCACACCTAAATACCAAGATTATTTTAGAAAGTCTAAAGGGGTGTGTGAGCTCTGAGATGCAGAACCCTTAGCCATAACATGATTTCTATATAAACATGTTAGATCAACATTTTTATGTTTTTATGCATATTCCAATAGCATGCACATGTAGTGATTACATTTAGTATATTATAGTTATTAGTGAGGTACTGAGCTCATAAGCTCAACGTTTGGAATGTGTTTCCGTGCGTAGGTTCTTAGGAGAATGTCCGAGGAGCGTTATCGTTACCAGATATTCCATTATAGCCGAGGCACTAGAGAACGTCTTGATTTAGTTTAAAGGGCATGTACTATTGTAGACCTTTTGTATTCAGATGTAACTCTATTTTGATTTTAAACTTAGTGTATTAATTTTGGATGATTTGGGAGCTCCCCATATATTGTAAACTTTGAATTATCACGTTTTATTTTATTTTGATTGGGATGGACTTTATATGGTATTTTATAGTTGTTTTAAAGAAAAATTTTGGGTTAGCTACTTTGGTGGTACCGTGTGACATCATGATCTAATGATCTTCGGGCCAGACTAGATTAAGGTGTTACAGATTTGGTTGAACAAGTATCGAGCTAATCTCGATTATGAGACCAAGAGAGTTGTTTTGAAGACTCTTCATGACAGGAAAATAATGATGATTGAGGAATGTCGTGGGTTCCTAAAGAATGTTATGTATGCTTTGGTAGTTGAAAAGAAGATTAAAAAAAGTTCCAAGGCATTTCTTACTTATATTCTAGATAACAAAGGTTCTAGATCTGACATAGAGACAATCTAGATCATTAAGGAATTTCCTGATGCCTTCCCCGAGAAGTTGTTTGGTTACCACTAGCTAGAGAAGTTGAGTTTGAGATTAAAGTCTATTTTAATTTGACACCAGTTACGATGGCTTCTTATCGTACAGCCTCTAAGGAGCTTAAAGAACTAAAAGTCCAACTCTATGAGTTATTGGATATGGGATCCATTTGACCAAGTATTTCGCTGTATGGAGCTCCAGTTCTCTTTACCAAGAATAAATATAGGACATTGAGACTTTTTATTAACTATCAGAAGTTGAACAAGCTCACAATCAAAAAAAATATCCCCTACCCAAAATCGATGATATGTTTGACCAGTTTCGATGGGTTACAATCTTTTATTCGATAGACTTAAGGTTTGGTTAATACCAACTCAATGTGGAAGATTTTGACATCCCAAAGACTACTTTTTGTACTCGATATGGGCATTACGAGTTTCTAGTGATGTCATTTGGGTTAACTAATGCCCCTGTTGTATTTATGGATATGATGAATTGGGTGTTTCGACCCAATCTAGATCAATTTATGGTTGTGTTCATTAACGATATATTGGCGTAATCTCAAAATGAAATAAAACTCGATGAGCATTTGAGGACCATCTTGTAGACATTAAAAGAGCACAAGTTGTATGACAAATTGAGAAAATGTGAGTTCTGGCTCAATGAGGTGGCTTTTCTGTGGCAAAGCATATTTGATGAGGGTATTAAGGTAGACCCAAGTAAAGTGGAGATTATTCTGAATTGGAAGCAACAAAAGAACGTCTTAGAGATTCATAGCTTCTTGGGCTTAATTGGATAATATCATAGTTTTGTTGAGGGTTTCTCCATCATTATAACTCCTTTGACAAAGCTCTTGAGGAAGGATACTCCGTTTTCTGGTCTAAGGATCAGTAATCTAGTTTTAAGAAACTGAAGACTTTTCTAACAGAATCCCCAATATTGATTGCGCCTGAGTCTAGGAAGGATTTTTCTGTATACAGAGATGCTTCACATTTTAAACAAGGATGTATTCTGATGCAGGATAAAAAGGTTGTAGCTTATGCATCCTTCTAGTTAAAGTCACATGAGCATAATTATCCCACCCACGATATGGAGTTAGTTACAGTGGTCTTTACTGTAAAGATTTGGAGACATTATCTCTATGGAGAGAAGTGTTATATTTATATCGACCATAATAGTCTAAGTATATGCTTACTTTGAAATAGTTGAATCTGAGACAACGTTATTGGTTAGAGATTCTGAAGGGTTATGATTTTGAGATAACGTATCATCCGGGCTAAGCCAATGTTGTGGCCAATGCCTTAAGCCGTAAGGCAGTATCTTATCTGAGAGCATTGTTTGTTAGGCTTAATTTTTATGATTATGGTAGTTTTTTGGTATAGTTACAGGTAAAATCGACCTTAGCTGAGGAGATCAATGTCAAACAGCTTCTAGATAGCTCATTGGTTTCCATTATTGAGCAGGTTGAGTAGGTATCGAGCTCAAGTTATACTTTTGATCGGGATGATATTTTATACTTTCATGGTCGCTATTGCATTCCTATAGAATATGAATTAAAGTAGACTATTCTTTAAGAGGCCCATAGTAGTCCTTACGCCATGCATCCTCAATGGTTAATTCTATAAAATTGTTACAACATTCAGCGTAAGTGCATGTGTCTTATATCAAGTAATAAAGTGAAAACTAAAAGAGTTTCGGATGTTGAACCCACAAAGAGCAAGGAATTACAACTTAGAATTGTTGATTCTTTGCAAAAGATAAGTTTGGAATGAAATACTGATAGATTTATAGCAAAAGAAAAAATTCATAATATTAAAGGCAAGGAATGCAGTAGTAATTAGGAGAGCAAATAGACCACTCGACCAATGAATGTTGTTGTCATTTGGAAATTGACAGTATGATTATGTTGTGGTAATATTTTTATGCATCATGTGATGATTATCACATTAATCCCCTTTTAAAGATTAAACACTTAACCAATGAGAATTAATTTTCACCAACTCCATCAATCAAGTAGTTAACAAAGCAACAATAATCGATAGCATATATCTTCATATACTTAAACTCACTTTCGCAAATACCGATGTTGTACATAAGTAACATGCAACCTCAATGATTTTTATCTCTAAAAATAACCAAGATTGACATAGATAAAGATATTTTTATTTCTAAAAATATCAAATGAAGTTCCAACACATAAAAGTATCATTTCAAGAAAAGATCATAAAACAAACATTTCATCAAACACTTTATGTTTGAATCCAAACAACACCATAAAAATAAATCATTCAAACGTAACAAAGTTCTTATCTTTTTCAAGTAAAAGCACTATAGAAAGATTGAACCCCCAAATGGTCACCGCTACTATGATAACGTTGATGCACCAGCTGCTGCTACACTCCTCGGTGGATTCAAACCTCTATGGTTGGTAGAGGAAAGAAGAAAATAAAATGGAAATGAAGAAAGGTTGAGGAAGAGTGAGAAAAGTGTGAAGGGAGGCCTTATTTATAATCCACAAAGGTCAAAGCATCTATCAATAAGAAAAATATGATTTTTCCTATATTTTCCAATCATTTCACAAGAATCTTAAAAGAGCATTAATATTGGGTTGGTATGAAGAATGATATTTTTATTATGTGGCGAGATGTCTGACTTGTCAGCAAGTCAAGGTAGAACATCAAAATCCGTCTGGTTTGTTACAGTCTATTAAGATTCCTAAGTGGAAGTGGGAGTGCAATATGATGGATTTAGTTACTGATTTACCTTTGACTCCTTCTAAAAAGGATTTTATCTGAGTGATTGTTGACAGACTCACCAAGTCAACTCACTTTATTCCAGTGAGAGTTAATTATTCTCTAGACAAGCTGGCTAGGTTGTATATCTTTGAGATCGTTAGACTTAATGGTGTTTCATTGTCTATCATTTCTAACTGAAATTCGAGATTCACTTCTAGACTTTGGAAGAATCTCATAAGGATCTAGGTACCCGTCTGAACTTTAGTATGATTTTACATCTGTAGATTGATGGTTAGTCAGAACGAGTAATTCCAATTCTGGAGGACATGTTAAGGGGTTGTGTGATTGAATTTTGTGGTAGTTGGGAAGATTTCATGCACTTAGCCAAGTTCTCTTACAATAACAACTATCATGCTAGCATCTGCATGGCACCGTATGAGGCATTGTATAGAGGGAAATGTCGTCTCCTATCTGTTTGAATAAGTTGCATGATAAGAAGACTTTGGAATTAGAGTTAGTCCGAAGGACTGAGGATACTATCAGACTGATTCGTGATCGCCTAAGAGATGCATTTGATAAACAAAAATCATATGATGATTAGAGAATGAAGGATATTGATTCTGAAGTTATGGATCATGTTTTTTTGAAGGTATCTCCGTGAAATAAGGTGTAGAGATTTATACGCAAGGGTAAATTGAGTCTGAGATTTATTGGGTCGTATCATATTTTGAAGAGAGTCAGACATATTGTGTATCAACTTGAGTTACCTCCTCATCTTAGTCATATTCATGACATTTTTCATGTATCTATGCTGAGGCAACACCATCTGGATCTGAGTCACATCATTTATATTGAGGATGTGGATTTGAGGCTTGATTTGTCTTATAAGGAGAAACTTGTTCAGGTTTTATCGGAATAAGAGAGTTCTTCAAAATAAGCAGATTCTGATGATCAAGGTTCTGTGGAGTAACAACAGTCCCGCATAAGCTACTGGGAGACATTAGAGTCAATGGAAAACTCAGTTTTGGCATCTATTCAGACCAAGTAAATTTTAATGAAGAAATTTCTTTTAAGGGGCTAGAGTTGTCACACCCTAATTTAGGGGCTAATTTTTTCTTAAACTAATTTTGGGGATTAAGTTGAACTTTTATTTAAATTTGAAGACCAAAGTGAACTTTTAATTAAACTTGGATCAGATTTAGAAAGCATTACAAATTGAATGACCTAAAGAGAAATGTTCCCATTTTTTAATACGATTGGCTTTAAACCCCTAACCTAAAACTTTCCATTTTTGGGAAGTCCAAATCTCTCTCTCTTAAAGTTTCCTCTTTTAGAAACTTTTTATCCAAGAAGCTTTGAACGATGTTTTGTCACCAATCGTAACTCTGTTTAGTGCATTGCCCATACCATTGTAATCCTTATGTCACCCCTAGTCTATAGGTGTCCGCTTTGTAGCTATTGTTGTTGGCATATGGAGGGGGTGAGGAATAACAAGTTTCTGACGAGTCGATTTGAGCTCTCCGTTGTTCACCGTTGTAAACCGGACTAGGAAAATGTCTCAAAACACCTTAAAATGAATTGTATATTTTTTTAACTTTTTTGACCTCAAAATCCATCGCACGTGCCCCTACGCAGCATCGCTGCACGTGGGACTTGTCCACCGCTTACTAGACCTTGTAGAAATAGGTCAACCCGATCCTGTGACCCATCTAACTTTACCTAACTGATCGTTCAGCCCATTTCCTTCGAGCTAAAAACTCGCTCGGTCTTATTCCCTTCGGCCCAAATTGACCCGACCAGACAGGCATAATTAAACCAGACCAAACTGATCTAATCGAGCCGAGTCGATTCGAGCCAAACCAAGTCACCATTGATTGTCACCGTTTACCGTTTACTGCCTCCATTAACCATTGACCGAAATTAACTTTTCTCTGAAACCATACCTCTTGATATTTTTCGACATCATGAGTTTTTTTTTCAAACAATTTTACCAAATTTTGACTCGAATACTATGAAATAAGCCCATTAACCTGAAAATCTTAGTATTTTTAACATTTATGCATGATTAATTGGGTATTGAATATAGAATTGATTTGTGAATATATTTTTGTGATCGTACCTGAGTTTACCCTAGTGAGAGTCGACTAGCTCAAGTGTTTCCCGTCCAGAATATTCGTACAGTCCACATTCTTCGAGAGCTACTAGTAGGTTTTCGTTATTTTTTTAAGTGTAGTTTATTATTTATTATATTAGGATTTTGATATAGTTCTTCCTATTCATAGGATCTAGCACTATGCTAACCATGATAGGTAGGCCCAACAGTAGGCTACCCTATCAGGGTTCTCAAACCAATACAAGTGTGTTGAATTACCTATCTGAATTGTATTGAAATTATGATGATATCAAATATTTTATTTTCATGATATTTGATTTACCGTATACTTCTAACATATCTCTGGTTATCGTAGTTTTGTATCTGATTTTAGAATATTGTATCTTTTCATGTTTTAATGAATTAAACTATCATTTTTTCACTCAAATACATGTATATTTACTATCATTGGGGGTATGATTGGAGGAAGAATCTCAGGCTTGGTCTATGACTTGTAAAACTTTACTGCATGACCCTCTACTTTGTGAACATGGTAAGTCCTTACCGCAGGTCCTTATGCTATAAGTATAAGGTCCTTACCGGGTGTTTAGGTAGGTGTATGGTTTAGGGAACCTACACATTCTGGTATTCGGATGGGGTAATGTTCATGTTTTAAAAACATGTTTTATAAATATTTTTTATCGAAGTATTTATCTGAATGTTTTTATACATTGCAAGGAGCAAACTGGGTTTTTTAGCTCACTCTTTAATTTTTAAGTTTTCAAATGTTACCAGACAGTGGGCTAGCAGACTTGACATCGAGAGGGTAGACTGTTCTCCTTTTTTGTACCACTGTGAATTTCTATATGCTCATTTTTGTTATATTTTGGTAACATTGTTTTTACTATTGTCTTTATGTATTTGTATTACCGATATTTTGTTGATAAGAGTAGCTGATACTGGGTTATGATTTTTGCTTCCAAGAAGAAGATGAAGCTCTTACTATGATTCTTGATAGCAATTTAGAACAACAAGATAATAATCATCATTATATGCATGCAAATTGGAACTCAGTCTTGTTGTTCTTCTTTATTCTTCAGATTCTTGCTTCTTTTGGGTTATGAAAGCACGTTCATCCATAAAAAATTGATGCAACTTAGTCAGCGAAGTATCTATACCTATGGTGTAGTTTTTAATCTTTAACCAGTTCAAATTGTTTCTTTATTATGAGTTAAACAAATTTATCAGGATTCTATGTCCTAGGTTCAATCTGTTTATAATTGTAGTCTTTGTTGTTTGCCTAGTAAGACCATATAAAAATGAGGGTTTTCTTTCCACCTGGTATTTGTCATATGGTTCCTCAGTATGCTTCAGTGTTTCTTATTATTAGTTCCCAGTGGGTCGTATCCACCGTCATCTTAAGTCTAGGGCTTCTGCAAATGGGAGAGTTGGGGCAACAGCTGCTGTTTACTTGGCCTCAATCCTTGAAAACCTGACCGTTGAGGTTCTCGAGTTGGCCAGAAACGCGAGCAAGGATCTGAAAGTGAAAAGAATCACCCCAAGGCATCTGCAGCTGGCTATTAGGGGAGACGAAGAGCTTGACACCCTTATCAAGGGCACCATTGCTGGAGGTGGTGTGATCCCTCACATTCACAAGTCTCTCATCAACAAGACCACCAAAGAATAGTAATACCTGATTTCAACTAGGTTTGGCTTTCCAGTACTTTAATCTGTTGTGTCTTCAGTGTTATTTGTAGGCTTTGTTTAATCTGTCTAGAACATCTGATTAGCATATATGATGGTAGTAACTCTCAAGGTTTGTTCCTTTGAACTTATGAATTATGATCTTTGTTAGAGTATGAGAGGTTCCTATTGGGTACTTTTAACTACTGTTTCCTTGGAAATCTGGCTCTAAAGTTCTAATATGCTCATTTGACAAGATTTATGGTAAAATATAAATATATTAAAGATTTTGAATAAAAATAAACAAATGAATAAATTTATATTAATTAGTTATAAAGAAATCGGGCCCGTTCTTATCCAATTTGAAGTGCTGCTTGTCTTTACTCCTTGAAGAGGTATAAGCATTCAGCCGGCTTGCATTCTTTACCAAGATTCCACATTTGCCATTGGTCTTTTTTAAAGTTTATAAATTTAAAATTAATTAAAATTTTAAATATGAATTTAAATTAACTCAAATAATTCTAACAATTTAAATTTAACTATAATTTAAAAAAATACTTGTATTAGTGGTGGCTTTATTGACTACAATATACTTTAAATAATGTTATTAGCCTAACATTAACAGGCAATTGATTTGGCTAGGTGGTTAGACATTAAGATTTTTATCCCTTGGACCTAGGTTTAAATCCCATATGTTGCAAAATTTTGTGGAGGTTTAATCCTTCCTTTTTTTTAATTTAATAAAAAATTTATGTGCCACATGACAACATCTTATTCGTTGTTATTAATTTAATAAAAAATAATTATTTACTATTAATTTTTTTTAAAAAAAATTGTTGACATAGAATCACACGTGGACATGTAACGTCAGCATTTAGTCTACGTGGATCTGTCACGTCATCATCTACTATGATATGGACATGCCACATCAACATCTCCCTCTACATATTCTTACTAAGTCAGTTTCAGGCGTTGACCGTTAATTGACTAACGATTTTCATCTAACGAAGATATTTTTTGACCTAAAATGAAACGTAGTAATCAAATGTTAAAAAAAACAATAGGGGGAAAATTATATATATTATCAAACTTTAGAGGTATTTGTTTCCCTTTTTCTTTTGGGATTTAAATTTAAATCCCAAAAAAAACACACACACACAACGATAATTGAAACGGCAACGTTCGCAGATCAATTCTCTGAGCAGTTAACGGTTGATCAAGAAACAAATTAAATATATATATATATATATAATTGAAATTGAAAATGTTGAAATTCAAGCCTCAACCCAAGTTAGACCAAAATCAATACAATCTCTCTTCTTCATCTACTACCAAACCCTAATCATCAACTCTTTTATTTCTCTTTAATTCTTTTAGTGATGATTTAGTTTGGGGTTTCTCTTCAGATCCGATCAACCTCAGGTGAGTTCCCCCTTTTTTCCTTTTCATTTTATTTTGATTTTTATATTATTTTTCCATTCCATTTTTCTGGTGTCTTTGGGGAATTGATCGACGCAATTTTAGTAGTCATCTTGTTTGGTGATCAGTTCTGTTTATTTTTCCCTTTTTTGGTTAAGTAATCTATTTTTGTGTAATTAATGTAATTTTGTTTGGGATTTTCCCCAGATAGAATGGAAAGAAGACCAAAAAAATGTAAATATACCTCCGAAATTGATTTGAGATAATGAGAGAGGGGATGATTTTCCCTTGTTTTCTCGGTCCAAGGGGAGCTTAACTATTAGAAATACTATGCTTCTGAGGATTTTTAATTATTTCATGTGTATTTAGTTAGTGTTTGAATATTGTTGATCCTTTAATGATCTGTAAAATGTTTGGGGCTGCTAATTATTTTGAAGTACAGAAACAATGTCTGGTTTTGCTATTGTGTTTTTAGTATATTAGGCTTGGGCTAATATTAATTCTAGGATGTTATTTCCATTCGGAAGAAGCTCCGGTACTACCTTAGATTTTGCAATAATTAAATAACAATCTTTAATTGATCATGACTTCATGAGAGGATCAGCAAAGCATGGTTTTGGAAGGAAATTAAATTTTTGTGTGTTTTTGGATTGAATGAAGCACTTTGAAGTTTATTCAAGGAAGACATTCTAGTTTAAGAGATTTAATTGTACTTTTTAGAGGACTGTTATGTTTTGCAAGAGTTTACTCTAAATTCTTTGATGATTTTGTCAATATTTGTCTGGATGCCTTTTTATTTGAGATGCACTCTGATCCTCTTCTTATTTATATCCTGGCTCTTAGAAATTTAAACCTATGGTTGATATGATAATCTTCTTTAATTTTCATCTTATTGGTGTTGCAGTTTGATGAATATAGTAACTTATCGTAATTTTGGAAGATTAGTTTCTTTCCCTGCCACCTATCATTATAAGTTATAATTTATTGTAATTAATTGAATTTTGTGTCCAATAACATATGTTTTAGTTTGTATTCCTGGTGATGTGTGCATTGTGCAGATTTAATGCATTTTCACGAAGTACCTCACATGGATGATGATAGTTGAGATGGATAAAATGTCTGCTCCTTCATCAAGAGAGCGCACACAGCGTCTTTATGAGAAGGTATATGTTTTATTATTTAGAAATGAGGTTCCATTTTAGATTCTTGTCATGATGTTATTTGGTACTCTCTGCAGAATATAGAGTTGGAAAATAATCGTAGGAGATCAGCTCGGGCACGAGTGCCTTCAGATCCTAACGCCTGGTAGCAGATGTGTGAGAACTATGAGGCTATAATTCTTGAGGACCATGCTTTTTCTGAGCAGCATAATATTGAATATGCTTTGTGGCTGTTACATTACAAGCGGATTGAGGAACTACGGGCACATTATAGTGCTGTACTAGCTTCTGGAGGATCCGACGCATCTCAGGGTGTGAAAGTTCCTCCACGACCTGACCGACTTGCAAAGATAAGACTACAATTTAAGACTTCCCTTTCAGAGGCGACAGAATTTTATCATGATCTAATTTTGAAAATCAGTGCACAATATGGACTTCCATTTGGATACTTCTCTGATGATTCAGAAAGCCAAATTGTTATGGACAAAGATGGGAAGAAATCCACTGACATAATAAAAGGTTTGGTGTCTTGTCACCGTTGTTTGATATACTTGGGAGACCTAGCTCGTTACAAAGGATTATATGGAGATGGAGACTCTAAATCATGCGAGTATGCAGCGGCTTCGAGTTACTACTTGCAAGCTGCATCAATTTGGCCGTCCAGTGGGAATCCACGACATCGGGTTTTTCTTTATTTTCCTTCGCTGTTAATTGGTTATCCTTGACTTTTATGCTCCAGTAATCTTTTTGCAAGTGCCTTAATTTTTTTCTTTTAAACTATATTCTGGTTTCTAATATGGACTATGATCTCTTTATTCAGCTAGCTATATTGGCTTCATATTCTGGAGATGAGCTAGTGGCTGTTTATCGATACTTCCGGAGTTTGGCACTGGATAATCCCTTTACTACTTCAAGGGATAACTTGATTGTGGCCTTTGAGAAGGTATGCGAGCAGATTTTAGTTTATATTTTGCAAGGGATAACTTGATCGTGGCCTTACATTCCATGGTTGTATGGATCTGTATTGTGATTGGTTAATGTATGTTTTTGCATCTGGCTATGACATTAAGTTGCTGGATTAGTTGAACACTTAGGTGTTTGTATTACCATCTTAAGCATTATTTTATAGTTCTCAGATGATCTTCTGCTAAGGTGCTCATTCATGCTGTGTATTGATTAGCTAAACCTACAATGTGAAATAATGTCAAACAGTTACCTTACAAGATTTATTGAGCATATCCAGTTTCTGACACGGTAATACAACATTGAAATTTACTACTCTTGATCTCATTAGAGCTCTGCAATTTTTGTCAAGAGTGTGATTAGTAATTTTATATTGAATGTTACCTTCTTGAAAGCAGCGTTGTTAGTGGATTTATAATTTATATGCTAGTGTTTATGTATATAACTATAGAGAATTTGTTAAATATGTACACTTTTCTTTGCAGAACCGTCATAATTACTCACAACTTCCTGGGGATTTGAAAGCTCCCCTGGTCAAGGAGCCCACTGTACAGTTATCAAGAAAAGGTAGAGGGGAAATGGAAGCAAAACTTTCACCCAGAGATACCAACATGGAAATGAACACTGCTAGGGAGAAAGTATCTGGTGTCCAGGATACTTCTAGTCCTTTTGCACTCGATTTGTCCGTCTAAATGGCATTCTTTTTACACGCACAAGGTATACTTTCTCAGAAGTTTGTTCTCTTTTGTTGATGATCAAGTTTTGTTGGTTTCTGTTTTTATTGAAGCTTACTTTGTGCAGCCTGGAGACTTTTGCTGATGTTCTCTCTCTAGTTAGTTGTGATTTATGTGAACTTCTCTCATCTGGGCCAGAAGAGGAACTTAAGTTTGGCGCAGGTGCTGCTCAAAATGCACTTTTCCTTGTTAGGCTTGTTTCCATTCTCATATTTACAGTTCACAATCTGAAAAGGGAGAGTGATGGTCAAACATATGCTGAAATTGTGCAACGCGCTGCCCTACTTCAAAATGCATTTACTGCATTTTTTGAGTTGATGCGACATGTAGTAGAGAGATGTTCACAGTTCCAGGATGTTTCTTCAAGCTACACCTTACCTGCTATTCTTGTTTTTGTAGAATGGCTTGCTTGCTGCCTAGATGTTGCAGTTGTTGGCAGTGATGAGGATGAGAAACAGTCGATTACTATATCACTTTTCTGGGAGCAATGCATATCATTTCTGAATAAGATATTGTCAATTACCCCAACGGGCATTGATGATGGTGAAGATGAGACCTGCTTTTCAAATATGAGCAGGTATGAAGAAGGCGAAACTGAAAACTGTCTTGCATCGTGGGAAGACTTTGAGTTGCGAGGGTTGTTGCCACTTGTTCCAGCACACTCTATTTTGGACTTCTCAAAAAAACTTTCCTTTTTAAGTGATGGGGACAAGGAAAAGAAAGCCCGTGTCAAGAGAGTATTAGCAGCTGGGAAGGCTCTAGCTAATGTCATAAGAGTTGATCAGAAAAATGTTTGTTTTGATTCAAAAGCCAAGAAATTTCTTATTGGTGCTGAGGCTTCCAAAAATGTAACAGTCAGCTCTTCTACGTCTCTGTCAACAAATGTTGTGGGGCATGAAACCCCTTCTGAAAAGACGATTAATGTTGGAAATATGCAGCCAATCCCACAACCTAGAATGATTGAAGAGGACGATGATGATGATGAATTGATTGTTTTCCAGCCAGCTGTGAGCGCAAAGAGAAATGAAGTGATTGGTCCAAACCAGCCACTCTCTGACTCTTTGAAGCTTGTTCAAAGTGGCTCTGCTGACGATGTCAAATTTTATGGCAGTTCCATGTCTGCTTCTCTTGCTAATCTTCATCAGCATAATACATTTGAGGCTAGTTCTCTGCTGACTGTATCTGTTGGTAGTATTGCCCCGCAGCTTCCCCAGGCTGTTCAGATGCAACCATCTAGGTTGTCAGTGTGAGAAGCTACTTCTCTGGTTAATAGCTTCAAAGGTTTGACAATGGAGAATGGTCATTTAACAGAACATGGTATGCAAGATAATCCAATCCTTTCACATCCTGCTGCATATTCAGTCGGTATCCAAAAACTACACATCGGTGCCGGTGCTGGCAGTATGTACTACAGTCAAACGAAAGTGGCAGATACTGTGCTGACATCCAGAATTGATGCTGTTGTGTCATCTGGAGTTACTGCTGATCCTTTAGATGCTAAAACTTCCTCTGCTTTGCAAGTTGGAACATGGAAGAACCCGGTTAGCCGCCCAGTTAGGCATCTTGGACCTCCACCTGGTTTTAGCCATGTTCCTTCAAAGCCACTGAGTGAATCTGTTTCTACTTCACAATTGGAGAACCCCTTGATGGATGATTATAGTTGGTTGGATGGATATCAGTTAGCTTCATCATTGAAAAACTCTGGGCTTGATAATTCCCTCAATCATGCTGATGTGCAGAATGGAACTGTAAGTTTTCCTTACCCTGGGAAACAGGGTCCAGTAGTGCAGTTTCAAATGGAAATGCAGAAAGGCTGGCAGGATTACCATATGCTTGAGCATCTGAAAAATCGACATGAACCGAAGTTACAGCCACAGCAACTCATGAATGGAAACCAGCAGTTTACCGTATAGCCCGAACAGTATCAAGGACAATCGGTCTGGAATGGTCGTTATTTTGTGTGAGATCAATCGGGTAACTACACTTTTTTACACATTTTCTGCCTCCTGATTTTATAAATTATTTTATTTATTGCTAAACATCTTTGAAGCATTTTCGGTATTGAGTTTTTGTTGGAGCATGGCTGGCCTTGGCTTCGAGTGGCCACTTGCTGCTAAACAAGTGATTACGCACTCTGCTACTTTCTTTGATCATTTACCAATTATTCTCCTCTCCTTTTTGTTTCTGTTCATATGTAGTCAAGTATTTTTCGTAGATGGTATCTCTCTCTCGATCTCATGTTTGTGTATACATTGAGCACTTAGTGACAATAATGATCTTAAGCCGTTCCTAACAGTAATGCACAGAGAAATATCTGTCTGCATCCACTTGGTTACAATCCATTCTATATAGAATTTCCTTCTTGACAGATTTGATGCACACATTGATACCATGGAAAGAAATAGGGTGCTATAGAGATGCATACATGTTTTCCTGTTTATCTCAATAGAAGTGGTTCTTAAAGTTGATTGTTTTGCAGATTTCAGGGAAGCTTAAGGAAACCATATCTTTGATGCAAAACTTGTGAGGAGTAAATGCCTTAAATGGTTACTTGGGACGGAGATAAATCGTATTAATAAGATCATCTATCAGTTTTGGGGCTATATCTTGCGTTAGTTGGAGGGAAAAAAACTTGGTTTACTATCCTATTAACTATCCAATGCTCTCTGCCTCTACCGCTGTTAAAAGTCGGCAACCAGAAGTTGAGACTAAGCATGTGATGTCTGCACGACCCGGTTAGAGGATGAACCTCAGAGGTGTCTGTGGGTTGTGCCTTGTGTATTTTCTGTATACAGTCGTTGGACATTTGGATTGGGGTTTGGATTGTTGGTGGTGCTTTTGAGTGGCAGAATGTGCAATCTATGCATGTTTGATAAATACATACATACATATATATACTATGTGTTTATGGATGGGAGATATTTAGGTTCATCGTATTCATAGTGATATTAAGAATTTGTTGGCTTGGTATGAATGGTGGTGGAACACATGCTATTGTCTTCCCCCCTTAGGGTTTCACACTCTACTTTCAATGTAACGAATAAATCTATGAAGAATTTGTTACTTAATAATGATTGGGGTTTTTTATTGTCTCAATCCTGATATAAAAATATGATTTATGAACAGGTAAAATATCGGTATTAAGTCATACAAACATTCACTTAACAGTGAATTTTTATGGAAGACTATTAAAATATCTACTTAATAATTCAACATGGGTAGGTTGGATTTCTTTGTCATCTAGGTGGTTAAAAGAATAGTTATTTTTTTTAGAGGGATAAGTAAACTACAGCATATAGTAAGTAATTAAACATTTATTATCAAATAATTGAGAATATTTAGAAAATATTTTAACTTAATGAAAAAAATATGAAATTCATACATATATTCACTTAACAATGAATTTTTATGGAAGAAAATAGTAAAATATCCACTTAATAGTCCGTTGGAATGGTAACGGACGAGGTAGGTTGGATCTGAATCCTGATATAAAAATATGATTTAGTAACAAATAAAAGGTAACCTCATTTAAGATTAAACTTGTCAAAAACAAAAAACAGCATGGAGTATAAATGTTTTTAATGAGAGGAGAGGAGAGGAGAGGAGGGCCACATCAAAAGTTTCAAATAAGGAAATAATGGACAACCAAATATGTATTTATACATATTATACCAATTATAGAGAATACGTTAATATCAAAGAAAAAAGCCGACCGGATCGAGTCGTTAAATCGGCTTAGTGTAAAAATAGAGGTTTCATCGGTTTGGTACGAGTCGAAAAAACTAATGGATTATCAAAAAAATATTACATATTAAATTGAACAAGATTAAATTTATAAAAGTATATTTTAGAGTTTAAAGTTTAAAATTTATGATTTAAGGTCTAATGCTTAAGATTAAAATATAGCGATCGTACAAAATAAATAATCTTACACACATCTACATACATGTCAGATAATAACCCTTAAAATGTTAACCTCTTTAGGCTATATTTTAATGAATAATAAACAGCACTATACTAATGAAAACAAATTCATAGTTTCATCAAATAACTATTATATGTAATGATTAATATAATTCTATTTTAACTAAACAAACCGAATCAATCAATTCGTTTCAAGGTTGAGCCGATATAAACCGATTCACTTCCTGGTTCGGTTTCTTAATCATTAATTAAAACAGAATTTTCAAACATTCTTCGAAATTGTGGACCCACAAAATCCCAAAGTCAGTCAAAGCCAAGGCCCCACACACATGTGGACCCACCAATACTATGGTGTTTGCCCATATTCAGATGGGTCCCACTGTAATTTTTACCTTCATTGTCTATAAATATGAAAACTTTGGTAAGGCGTTACCCAATTCAAATGGCGGATAATAGCGGTGTTGTCTCTCTTTCTCAAGCTCCCACCGCCAAGAATGACTCGTCGGAGCACACCCTTCTGAGTATCCCAACACTCTCCGCCTCCGAAAGTGGAGGTGGCGGTGGCTCTTCCAAGTCTAATACTCTCATATATAATCAATATCGTCAACAACACCTATTACTTCCTCCGTCTTGGGGAACCCCCGCTAGGAAGCTCAGAGGAAGACCTCCGGGATCGAAGAACAAGCCCAGGCCACCGATGGTGATAACCAGAGACAGTGACTCGGTTATGAAGACGGTGATTCTAAAGATATCCGCTGGCTGTGACATTATCGATACCATTACCAACTTTGCTCGAAGACACCATGTTGGTGTTACGATAATCAGTGCCACCGGCTCAGTATCAAACGTTACGCTCCAGAATCCTGTTCCTCACCCGCCGTCGATCTTTCTCTCTGGATCCTATGAGCTACTCTCTTTATCCGGTTCGTTCATTGCCTCTATCCCTAGTCTCTCTTCTGGCAGAACACCCCAACCATCTTTGTCTTGTTCTGTTGGGGTAACGCTTGCCGGGGCGCAAGGGCAAGTGTTTGGAGGGATAGTGGGTGGGAAAGTAATGGTGGCGACGGAGGCGACTCTGGTGGCGGCTACTTTCGTAAACCCTTCTTTCCACCGTCTGCCATGTGAAGTTGCTGATAACCAAGTTCATCGTCAAGAAACCACGCCTAGTGGTTTTCATGCTAACAATGGCGGTGGAAATAGCGGAGGTGGAGGTGGTGGAATCGAATCTTGCTCTTTTACCGGCGTGTCTATGCCTGCTTATGGTGTCGCAGTACCTGCACCGCTTAATTATCAAACATCTCCCGATGTTATGAAATGGGGTCCTCCTTCCCCTCGTCCTTATTGAGTACATGTGTAAAACATGTTGAAATTTCCAATACACCTTACCTATAAATTATCCTCATTCAACTTTGAGGCTAGTTTTCATATCTAGTTTATCTCATCATAAAAGTTAATGTTTCATCAATGAATGACTTGTACTTTTTTTCTTCTTTTAGTTCCTTTGTTACTTTATTTTTGTTTTAATTTAACTTAGAAAGTTTCAGTATAACTCATTTAAAACTACAGCATAACCCGTTTAATAAAAATATGAAAAATTTGATGAGATAATAATTTTTAAAAAAAATTGAATGGAATATTAGATAAATTATATTTTTAATTAGAATAGAATAAACAGTGCATAAGGAAAGACGCCAAATTACTTGGTGCTGTTAAGTTCTTATAAAATACCAATTCAGAAAACGTTGTTAATAGAATACCAATTCAGAAATCGTTACGTCTTCTTCAAGATGTCAAGTGATTCAACTGTCTTTTTCTCAAAGACTGTTCATTCCCTAGTTGAAATAATAATTTCCCCTATACCCCATATAAGTCATTTTTTCTCACCGGAATTTTGCCGAAGAAATGTACAATCTACCATTTCATAAAAATAGTGAGTACTTTAGATCATTACAAATCATGTAGTGAATTTCATGTCTCAGTTCTCATTTTAAGTTTTTTCACGCAATGCAAATGAAATGCTCAACATACTTCAAAGTCAACAGAACAGAAATAAAAGTAATTTATTTTATATATGAACGTAAACTTTTTGGCTGAAATGCTATACAAGACTTAGAATGTAATTTGTCAGTAACTAAGTTATCAAATCTACAAACAAATCCTCCCCTAGAAGTCACCAAGGATACAAGACAATGATCAGAAATAAGGGAAGAAATTACAATGCCGAGAATGAATCTCCGATTTACCTTTACCCAATGTCACCTCTCAGAGATGACTTACATAAATCAACAGATTCGGACCCAACAATGTCGTTATTTTGTTGCAGAGAAAGAAAAGGGATATTGTACAATAAGACACCCATATACAGGGCTTCTGGTTTATCATGTACCTTCTTTGGTGTTAAGGCTTTATTAAAACACTTTTATGTCAGAAGAAAGTCACTTAGGCGTCCTACTCATCAAATGCTCTTGATGTTTTTCTGCAGCAGCCTTATTGGCGGCCTCACGCTTGAGTTTCCTCTTTGCCCGTCTCCCCATTGTGCTTTTCACGGCTTCTTTCTTTTTAGGCTCACGTGAGGACCCGGCACCTGTGTCCTGGAAGTTGGATCGTTGAACAGGCCTGGCTTCTTGGCGCCCTGACCTTACATATCCACTATCACCCCATCTCCTATTGCCGATACAAAGACTTGGAGAATAGGTGTAATAAACTTCATCCTCTTCATCATCCTCATCTTCGTATGGATAATAATCATAATAAACTTCCAGATTATCATACATCTCTTCCCGATCCTCCATGCGATACTCCGATCAATTGTTTAAACCATGTGGCTCTAAGAAGCAGGCAGACACTTTCCTCAAACATGTAGTCATGGATCCTGATAGAGTGAAAGCTGAAAAGTCAACTACTGGTATATGGGATGACAACCATAAATGAACCGAACTTCCTTTCTACTACCTCCAAGTAGAGAGCATATCGCTTGTGAAAAAGGGGGGAAGATAGAGGATTTGAAATTACCTGCCATCGAGCAAAAGATGAACATTGAGGAACTCAAATGGATGTTTACACTGAGGGCATGTAGGCATCTGATTGTATGTTGCCCATTGTAGGATGCACATCACGCTGCAAGAACACATGCAAATACAAATAAGAGCTAAAATCCCATCCCGATCCACTGTAATATAGAATATGTTAAGCATGCCGAATGTGAAGCACACTGCAACGCATAAAGACAAGAAAAGAAATAAATTGCCAACTTGATCCTGCACCCAATTGGTTAATCTACAAACCATAATAACCCATAATTTCAAACATCAATACTCTTGAGAAATTGAGAACAGAGCTCCACAAATGAAAAGAAAAATTATGATAGCATGTTTGCAATCAGAGAAAGAAAACCCAGATCTCATCCACATTGAATAAGTAGAATGATTACCAAGGATCGGCTTTGATAAGTAAATGAATGACAACAACTCGAATTTTCTAACCAAATAGTGAAGGCTCCAAGGTATAAAAGAAGCATGGAAACAGAAATAAATCAAGAAAAAAACAAAAAAGCAGTAATTATGAATATTGGAAAGAGATAGGATGGAGAAACCAGTGAGCATGCCGCAACCTTTAACGAGTGCAGTTTCCTGAAGCTATCTAAATAATCCACTGTGAATTTCGCAGCTATCCTCGGCAACAACTCCTTTGATAATTAAAGCAATAGATCCAATAAAAATCGAGGTCTCACAAGAAAACTTGTATTAAATTACCAAAAATATCATGGTAAAATTACATATACATATTTTTAAAAAGTTCCATAAGCAATCAAATGGAACAACAACAAAAGGATCAAATTACTACACAGTTAAATAACCATCGCAAAAATAAAATTACCTATCGTAAAAAAGTTACATAAGCAATCAAATGAAAACTTCTATTTTTCTTTCAGTTTTCTCAGCAACCAAACAACAAAATTAGGTTGGGGAAAAATCTTAACCTATCGTAGAACGTAAAATCCAAAATAGATCTGATTCCAAACCTATAAAAAAGGATGAGGAAGAAGAAAAAGTACCTGATCTTGAATCGATAGATTGGGAAGAGCGTGAACAAGGTGTTCACCGTCGATCTTGACGATTGAAGTCATGATTTTGATTTTGAATTTTGTTTTTCTATTTTGCTTCTGAACTAATCTATGACTTTGCTACAAATTTACAGTAAGCTAAGCTAACAAATGAATTTTTAGTTTTATACGACAACAAATAGTAAGAAAAAAGAAGAAAAAAAGTTTTGAGATGCCGAAGAATTATTCTTCTGATTCCAGCCAGAGAGAGAGAGAGAATCCTCTTTGGAGGAAAGTATTAAGCTGTTTATTATAATAAAGATAAAATAACCTCACTGTCCAAAAATACCTTATAATATATAATTTTAATAAAAAAAATTAGATTTGTTAAAATGACCAACTAAATCGTAATGCGATCTATAATTCGTAACGCGATCTCCGGTATCGCAAATCAGTTTCCAGATTCGTAACGCGATTCTGACTATCGCATTGCGATTTTCCAAATTCGTATTGCGATTTTTCGACTATCGCAATGCGAATATGTAAATCGCAATGCGAGTATGACTATCGCAACGCGATTCTGACTATCGCAACGCGATTCTGACTATCGCAACGAGATTCTGACTATCGCAACGCGATTCTGACTGTCGCAACGCGATTCTGACTGTCGCAACGCGATTCTGACTGTCGCAACGCGATACTGACTATCGCAATGCGATTTTCAAAGCGTCATTATTATCGCAACGCGTATTTTTTTCAAATTCCAAACACGAATATTAATATATCGGAACACTGAATCGTCCACAGTATATCCCGTAATCGTAACTCATAACCTAAAACCCTAAATCACAACTCAATCTCATCTCCATCTCTCACTCTCTAATGCGACATCCGTCCCCATCTCCGACGAAATCAGTCTCCTTCTCCGGCGAAATCCGTCTATCTCCATCTCTCAGAGCCACCCTCACAATCATTCACGGTCAGAAATGGAAAATCAACCAAATCAACCACCGAGGGTTAGTTTTTTAAATTATTTTTATTTTAAAATTTTTACATTATTATTAGGTTTTTCATATTGAAATTGATGATAAGTTTACTGGTAATTTCAATAATAGATTAATCATTTCATTTAGATTGCTTATTAAATTCATTCGATTGCTGCCAATACTGCTAAATTGTTTAATCTTTAAACTCTGTGAATTTAGTATTTGTTTTTGTTTTATCTTTTGGTTGAAGTAATGCAATTCATTCAAGTTTCAATTTTAGTATTTGAAACCGAGAATCGCAACGCGAAATGAAAATCGCAACGACGGAATCGCAATGCGATTTTAGTTTCGCGTTGCAATTTTCATTTCGCGTTGCGATTCTTGCATTGCGATAGTCAAATTCGCGTTGCGATAGTCATTTTCGTGTTGCAATTTTCTTTTTCGTGTTGCGATTTTAAGTTTCAGAAACTATTCTTCTTCTGCAAATTGAAACTTGAATGAATTGCATTACTTCAACAAAAAAACAAAGACAAATACTAAATTCACAATGTTGCAAATTTAAGTTTGAAGAATAAACTACTACTTTTTATGTTTATTGTTCTTGGTATATCTTCACAGTGTAGTTTTTGGTATATCTAACTTGGTATGTTTATTGTTTTTGTAGAACTTTTATTCGTCTCAATTGACCTTAAGAAATAAATTAAGCCTGGCCAAAATAATTGTGTCGAAGCTTTCACCTGCACAAAGAAAAATATTTGAGGATACTTGCTTCGGGCCATGGCTGAAAGTACAGCATCTGGGTGGAGATGCTATGTTGACCCATCTGTTTCTTCAAACCATGACTAGCGATCTACCAGAGATTATACAACGTCGTGATGAAGAGATATGGTTTGATTTTTCACCGGCGTATACGTGTTTTGGGCGGGAGGAGTTTTGCTTAATCACCGGTCTACGCTTCGGACACGATGATGTAAGTCGGTACACTAGACATATTACCCGCCTATCATGGTTATCCCGGGTTTTTCCTGAGCTGTCAATGGAGAAGTCGAATTTACACGTGGAAGACTTGACGAGATTATTGAATAAGAAATATGGTTTTACTCGGATGGATGACGTCGATGTTGTCCGAGTATGCCTTCTAATACTTTTACATGCCGGCTTTTTAGGCAGAGAGGTCAGACAACCTATTCCTAATGATCTAATTAAATTGGTAGAGGACCTAAATGCATGGACACTATTTCCGTGGGGTTCGTGTCTATGGAAAGCTACATAGAATAAGTTGTCGTCTTCCTTTGATGATAGAAAAAAGTTTGCGTGGCGATGGTTCCAAATGCACTTTGTCAGGCTTTATTTGGGCCTTTAAGGTAAGAATTTTTATATAATGTTTCTAAAATTATAATTAATTATTATTTAACAATTACTAATGTTTGTTATTATATTATTTGTAGATTTGGATATTTGAGGCCTTTCCCGCCATACAGACATATGCATTAAAAACTTCTAATGATATTCCTAGGGCTATTTCCTGGAAGAGGAAACGGACCTTGCAGCAATGAGAAGATTTACTACCGTATACGACAATAAATAATGTAAGTTAACACAAATACTACCATATGTTTATAAACAAGTTATTACTAGTACACGTTTAACTTTGTTTGAGCTTTTATATTGTTAGGAGTCCAACACTCCATTACAGAGGCTGACACCCACGGAAGCTGAGCTTGCCACTGATTAGTGGCAAGCTAGTAAGCATTTTTTTGATGGCACGGATGATGAGCAGCCTCCACTTCGAGAGCCATCACCTCACCCAGAGCCATCACCTGATCGACCCGACTATATACCTCCACAACGAGAGCCATCACCTATTCTGTCACATCATCGAGCCTCTTCTCCACCATCACCTCATGATAGGCGACTGACAAAGATGCCACGACGTTTATCTCCCTGTTCTCCACCTCCACCTCCAAGGGATGAGTTAGGGGAGTTACATGATGAGGTCAATGCCTTGCGTGAGGAGGTCGGTACTTTACGCGATGACAATGGTGCATGGCGTGTTGAGGTGTCTACTTTACGTGGTGAGGTAGCCGCTCTATGTGAGATGGTAGCATCGTTGCAGAATGAGGTTCACACTCTACGCAACGAGGTAAGTTTAATATTTTTCATATTTAACTTGATGATAAATTTACTCGTAATTTCACTTAGATTAACCATTTCACTTAGATTGCTTAGTAAATTCATTCGGTTGCTGCCAATACTGCTAAACTGTTTATTCTTTAACCCTGTGAAGTTAGTATTTATTTTTGGTTGTCTTTTGGTTGAAGTAATGCAATCCATTCAAGTTTCAATTTGCAGAAAAATAATAGTTTACTTTCGCAACGCGAAAATGACTATCGCAATGCGAAAATGACTATCGCAACGCGAATTTGACTATCGCAACGAGAGAATCGCAATGCGAAATGAAAATCGCATTGCGATTCTCTCATTGCGATAGTCATTTTCGCGTTGCGATAGTCATTTTCGGGTTGCGATAGTCATTCGTGTTGCGATTTTAAGTTTCAGATTCTATTCTTCTTCTGCAAATTGAAACTTGAATGAATTGCATTACTTCAACTAAAAGACAAAGACAAATAATAACTTCACAGTGTTGAAAATTTAAGTTTCAAGAATAAACTACTACTCTTTATGTTGTCATTGAACCTTCACTAAACCTATATGTTGTCCTTTTAAATGTTTATATAAGTGATTACTTCAGGAATGTTATCTGATGCATTTTGTGAACAATGATAGAATAATGACTTGGGTGAATACCGTGCAAGTTTGAAATATATTTGTCTTTGTTTTCACTGTTTAATATCATGTATGTTTATTTACTGATTTATGTATTAATTTATTTTTAGCGGCCCACTAAGGTGGATGCTCTACGTCAGGTTTTTCTTGCAAGATGGAGTTCACGCATCAGACGGCGTGCACATGCCATTAAGTCTCCGTTCACCCCAATAGTGTGAAGAATCCGTAAGAAAAAGCCCGACTCACCTGTCATCGTTCAAGAGGCCTCCCCTATCGTTCAAGAGGCCTCCCCTATCGTTCAAGAGGCCCCTATCATCCCTCAAGAGTCCCCTCCCACCGTTCAAGAGGCCACTGTCATCGTTGAAGAGGTCCCTCCCAACATTCTAGAGCCCGATTCACACGACATAATATATCGAATTATTGAGAAACCCCCTCACATATCGGACATGATGGATGACTGTTGGCTTTCGTATAAGTTGCCGGCCAGTACCATTCCGGTAGATGAAATGGAGAGGAAACAACTACCGGAAACAATTCTGGATAATACCCTTTGGGCTAAGACCACAGTTGATTTTTATCTACATGAGCGGAGCCAAGGGTGTTACGCTGACATATACAAACTCAACGATAATATGCATTTGTTGATTGAACGGTCTTGGTGGGGTGTGTTATTAGGGGTTGAAGACAATGGCTATTTCGATGGGGGGTAAGTCTTATATTTCTTCTTATATTTCATTTTGATTAATTTTTTTTAAAATTTATGTAATTCACTAATATATGTCTTTTTTTGTAAAACATCATATTGATGCATGGGTGTCACATCTTCTAATAGTAAGGGTTTTGAAGAAAAAAAAATATGTGATATACAATTATGCCGACGTCTTTTCACGTAGTTCACTTGAAGAATCAACGACAGGAATCATATGTGTTGGCTAATGGACAAGCTAAACTTTATCCTGCATGGTGGGAGGTCGATAAGGTTAGTATTTATTTTTTTAAATATTTTAAAGGTGTTCATAAATAAGTGCGCAATTTGAATTATTACTTATGATTGCAGGTGTTTATCCCTGTTTTGGAACGTACTCATTGGCTTCTCGTCGAGCTTCAGCTCCCATCCTTGAAGACAATAGTATATGACAGCATGATAAATTACATATCATTGTCTGATTTGAGAGATATTATTAAGGGATGGAGCTCTCATTTGGCTAAATTCTTGGATGCGATTAATTATTGGACTTATTCTGGAAACAAGAAGCCAAAGAAGTTCAATGTTACAGTTATCAGAGACATCGCGCCACAACAAATACCGGAAGCCATAGGGGATTGTGGTCCTCTCGTATGCATGTGCTTGGAGCGTTTGACGACAAGAAGTACACAGTTTCTACCTCCCACCGATAGAGATAGAGGTGCAGTAGGCTTGTGGTTTCGGTATTTTATGGCTAGAGCGATATATTCGAGACGCTGCCTACCTGCATCCGCGTTATGAAAGTGTCCATAAACAATTTGTAAGTCAAATGCAAG